ACCGTAGCGAAAGAGACTGAAGTTTTGAATAATCGCGCGTCATGGAGGCAAAATGGCAGCAGTTCGCCATACACTTAATCTAATGACTTTACTTCGCAGGTAAAATAAACGAACGACATCTGCGGCAGTAACTGCATAAACGAACGCATCCCATATACAATATAATTCGGTTCTATAGTAGTTGCAAGCCGATCGCAAGTTGCCAATCTGAAACTTGGATTTTGAAATCAACGCTTCATATTGGCTGTCGCAACAAAATTGCGATCGGCTTGCAATTAAGAATCGGCTTTATAAGATAAGCATAAAGGCAGTTACACAATCGCGCCCCAGACTTTTCTCTGGTCTAGGGATTAAAAATACATTTGCGACTTGTATTTCGTGGTTCGGTCTTTTTGCCGCGTGATTTTATAAGATAAAATCCGTTTTCAACATTTCGCCGGCTGCAATAACCTAAATTTGCAAAACTGTTAGGTTAGGAGTATGGGCGATATCGGTCACGCGGATATGTTGCCCGCCGATACCACCCGACTGGCCGCTGATTCCGGCTTCAGCGAATTGTTGAGATCGGCAGAGCAATTGTCCGCAACCGTTGAGGGAAATGAGGATCTGCCGCAGGTCGAAAGAAATTTACGACAAATATTAGAGGCGTCCAATGAGCTATGGTCTCGGGTTACGCAAACAAGCACACAGGATAACGAGGCACAAGCGTAAGTTTATCCCAGCGGTTTATTCTTGGATACATATGATAAGTTTTTTGTAGACTTCATGTTAAACATACTTTTGAACAAGAGACATACAGTGTAACACAATGAATCACTACATTCTCGTTATTTATCAATTTTAAACAAAGATGAAATGATTGAGCAAGGTAGGTACTCAGATGACAGGACGTTTTTAGCAAGAGACACAAATGGCATTGTAACATAGTGGATCACTTCGTTCTTATATTGGCAAACAACAAGAATGTAATGGTTTACTGAGTGATTCACTATTACATTATGTCTCTTGTTAGAAAGCATCAATAATGTGAATCATTATATTTTATTATTTGTCAGTGCAAGAGGTTGTGATCAAAGTCTTACTATGAATGCTTTGAAATATTTGATCAGTCAATTAAAAGAAAAAATTTTATAAATTGATCAAAAAATGCTTTACAGCATTTGTATTGGTAGCGTTCAACAGAAAAAACTAATCGGTTAGAGTACTTAGTGATTCTTTAATATAATTGATTCTTGCCTTTAGCTCTTTGCTAGATTCATAGTTGATTCTTATATTTGAGAGTACAGTTTTAAGTACAGTCTTAAGATATCATAAGATCAATCAGAGAACTGCGTTAGCATTAGATATTATTTAAGATGGTCTTAAAATAAGAATGGACTATGAATCTCACTCTAAGTATAAGAATCATATTAAAGAATCACTAAGTGCTGATTAATTTTCTTTCTTGCCAAACATAGCCATTGTGTTAATATATTCAGAATGAAGTGATGTATTGTACTTCCAGCAAGAGATACAGGCTGTGTTCCAAAATTTACTGCCAATATTGAAAATCTATAGTATACGTGACATAAACTATAGATTAGTCTTAGCAGTAAATTTTGATGAATACAGCCATAGTTGATACTGCATAATAGTGAATCATTATATCTTTGTTGTTTGCTAATATTAAACACTTTAGTATTACACTATTAGTATTACACTGTGTCATGTATATCCTTCTAAAACATTCATAGTGCTTTCACGCAGCAAGAAACACAATTGATGCAGTGTAAGACAGTCAATTATTATATCTTTGTTTGCTAATGTAAGAATGAAATGATTCATTGTGTTATGCAGCATCATTTGTAGCTCTTGTAAAATGCTTTATATTATCCGATTACCTTAACTGAAAAACAACATTTATATAAAGATAAATGTTTCAGTCATGTTTTATTAGGCTCCCGAGGAGTAGATTTATCTCAGATTTCGCAGAAATTAAATTCTCTCAGTGCGAGACGCACATTTGAGCCATTAGATCCTATTGCAGATACCGACATTGTTAGTTATCTCAGGAATGAAAAAGAAAATGCGATTCTTTCCATCATTGAACAGGTCCATAAGGACGTATGTAAAATAATAATTAAATATCTATATGTCTAGATTAAATATCTATATATCTGTATATCATGGAGAGATTAATATTGGTTATATTCTTTTAGACATTTGAACTTACAAGAGCTCAGCAAATGGAACATATGCTGGGTGAATGGAAGCAAATGCGTTTTGAGATAATAAACGCCATGACTGCGCCATCCGGTGAACTGGTGGATTTGCGTGGTGCTCCGCAGCGTACAAAATTAGCCGGTTCGATGATTAGTGGTCTCTCCAGCATAGAAGTTGCTTATGTAAAGGAATTGCAGATTTATAACGATCATGTGCTCAAAGGTGTTACGCGGCCCAGTTTGTTTAACACGTTCCACAAAGCTTCCGAGTCTTTTAACGACAAGAAAATTGTGGATCTGTGGCAAATGGTAAAGTGTATGGTCGATATCCCGCCAACACCTAGAGGAGATCAAATTAAATCCAGAAGCAGCTCCGCAATCGAACAGAGAATTGTCTCACAAGCCAGAAAGTATTTGGAAAATCGATATAGAGATTTCATGAACTCCATAATTAACGAAAATTTGGTGCAGGCGAAACGAGGGGGTCTTCCGGGCACTATACCTTTGGTTAAGAGCTTCGTGGGTGTCAAAGTACAAAATCTGAGAGATTTGGAGGATACTAAGATGGAAGACAAACCATTGTGGTCGTTAGTATATTACTGTATGCGATCTGGAGATTACAAAGCCGCGCTGCAATGCCTAAATCAATGCGGCACGGAATTCCCGGAATTTAAAGCGGCTCTCGAGGAAGCTTGCGATGATCAGCAACATCGTCCAAGTAGTCGGGCCGAGTCCATCCTAAAATTGCACTATAGGAAACAAGTACGATCCGTCACTGATCCTTACAAGAGAGCAGCGTATTGCGCGTTGGTTCCTTGCGAGTTGGATGATTTCCACTCCGAAGTGATATCCACAGCTGACGATTACTTGTGGTTAAAGTTATGCCAAGTGAGAGATCAGGCAGACGTTGAGAATAAACTTACGTTGGATTATCTGCAGACTACAATTTCAGAAATATATGGTAATACTAATTTTTTTTTAGATAACCGATAATGTTTTTTAGATTTTTAGAAGTCTTAATCAATGCCATTTTTAGGAGAAACTTATTATCACGCACACGAACAGCCGTTTTTGTACTTCTCAATGCTGTTTTTGACCGGACAGTTTGAAGCAGCGATAGAATTCTTAGCGACGGGTGCTGGAGCAAGGCATTTACCGCATGCTGTCCATCTGGCAGCTGCTATGCACGAACATAATTTGTTGGCTGTCAGTCAAAGCGTTTTAGCACCTTTGATAAGCGTAGATCCTGCCGATAAGCCGCCAGCGAAAAGACTAAATTTCGCTAGATTGATATTATTATATGTTAAAAGATTTGAATCATCAGACCCAAAAGAGAGCCTTCATTATCTATTTTTATTGAGGTATGATTCTTAATTTCTTATTTGTATAAATCAATCGTTAAATTATAAATATGATAATCACATTGACGTCTTGCTTTTAGATGTATGAAGGATCCATACGACCGTAATATGTTCGCCGCGTCTGCCGCAGAAATGGTAGTAGATGCTTCTCCTGCAAACCGTGTTTTGTTAGTCGGAAAACTTGACAAAGATCGCAGACTTCCAGGGATCTTGGATCAATTCCAAATCAATACGGATGACGTGATAAACATATGTGCCGAAACATTGTATAGGAAAGGTCTGCTGGAAGATGCAGTTATGATGTACGATTTAGCTAGGAATCATGAGAAGGTCCTCAGTTTGATGTGTACACTTTTGACACAAGTTGTTAGTCAAAGAGGACCGCCTGGATCTCTCAGAGGACGATTACAAACCACAGCGATGGATATCAGTACAAGGTATAATTTATACGATTAAAGAAATTTGCATCGATCATGCAAATTTTTTAAAATTTATAAAAAGCTTGATATTTATGATTATCACAAATCTTTTCAGATACAAGGACATTGCAATTCAAGCGCCTTCAGAAGTAGTATCTTCATTTTATACTTTGAGGGACCTTATGATTTTCTTCGATCAATTCCACAATGAGCAGTATCAGAGCGCGCTCAGAGTAAGTACATTTTTAATTAACTAAATAGATAAGAATATGTTTAGAAAAGATCACTAGTCAGCTTAAGAGAGAAGGTTTAAATAATACTATACTTCCTTCAGACAATTGCGGATTCGAAGATGTTACCTCTTCAAGTAAAGGAAGTTGATGAAAGAGTGAATGCCTTACGTAGAGTATCACCCGAAGTGGCTGGCACATTAGCTGATGTTCTTCTGGCCACTATGACGATATTGTATCGTCAATATCAGAAATTACGATCGGTAGAACCAGGTGATAAAATCGCGAGGGAGCAGCAATTGCACGATCTCCGAGAGCAAGCCCGAGCGTTAACGAGTTTCGCGGGAACATTACCATATCGCATGCCAAACGAGACGAACAGTAAACTCGTACAAATGGAAATTCTCATGCATTAAAATCGAAAATTTATATACAGCAAACATGTAATAATTATATAATGTCATGGTTAAAGTTATGTAACAATTATATGATTATAAATTTAAATATTATATTGTATTTGCTGGGTATTTTAGACTATTTAAGTATAGTCTATATATTTGCTAGTTAATTTTATTTAAAAAGTTTGTTCTTTTTATTATAGATAAGTATTCACAAATTTTATTTCTAATTTAAAGTATAACGAGTTTGCACTTATTCCATCAGAGCAGCAATTGATAAAAAACAAAAACTTTCAAAGATTCAACATTTCGGTTTAAATCTAAATATTGTATTATATAGATCATATAGAATGTTGCAAGAGACTCTGTAAATTGCAAGAAAGACTCCGTATGATACTCGAATTATTTTTGTATTTCTATTTATAAATGTACGTGATATACTGAATATAGATTTTTGCAAATACATTATCCATTAATTTAATAAGTAGTGAACACAATGATTAATATTTCCAATTTATATCACATTTTATGCCATCTTTACTCATATTCAATCTAGCTTTCATCTTTATGCTAAAATTATTTGTATTATCTTGGATCTTTGCAGTCTTCGGTATTATAGGATTTCAAAGATGTTATAGATATCCCACAACTGAGATCTGCAACCTTACCTTCTTTCATCTGTAAAGAATTTTTTGTAATATACACATAGACTATATGAAAAAAAATTAGAATGATCTTACATACCGCTCTGTAATCCAAGAACATTTCCTTAAAAGCCAAGAAATCTGTTATCGTTGACAGTACCTCAAAAACTTCACCTTCCAGCTCCGTTTGCTTCTGCTTCTCACTGAGTTTTATCATATTGTGCAAGCATGCGAGAATGGGAAAATTATTAGATAAAAGTCCGAAATTGTTCCTATTATTGACTATATTTTAATTATAATCACTTTAATTGATGTAAAAGAGTGTTTACTGTGAACTGCGGCATGACTTTCTTTAAATAATCCACGATGTATGCCTCCACATCTTTATTCTGAAATATGTAAAGCGCGTCTCAGAAAATCGGTAGCAAGAACTTAAAGAACTTCGAGGTTTTTAATGAAAATAAAAAATCTCACATATTCGTTGAATATATCGGTGTAAATTAATTTGTTATCTTCTACTGGTTCGAAAACATTCCAATACTTTTCTAAAAATTTATTCTGAAGGGCTTGAAAATCTTCCTCTGAAAGATCGATTTATTAAATCGTAAAGCTATCAATTAAGAGCTTAGATTAATTGATCCTACACTATCAGTGTTTTTTTTTAATATAATTAAGTGAGATGTTTCTAATATTCTAACATTATATATTGTAATTTTCATTCTTCTTAATGATTTACAATTAAATAAACCTTGATAATGTTCTATACATTCTTTACAAATAAAGGCTAAAAAACTTTTTTAAGTTACAAAATAATTTTGTTAAATATAATGTGTATAAATAGTATCTATACTTGTACATTTAGCGAATTTATGAAACGGAGGTGTCCTGGAAATCTCATGTGAGTAATAAAGAATTAAGAATTCTAGTAATAAAGAATTAAGAATTTTAATCCTGTCGATTGTATTATCTTGATGGATCTTTCAAATTAATTATATAATCATATAGTTTGAGTCAAAGATTGATCAGAAAACTAAAAAATAAAAAAAACAGAAAAAAGATCTTACATTAAAATAAAATTATAAAATAAGAAAATTTTTTTAATAAAATAGTAAGAAAATATAAATTACATTTTTTAAGTCAAATATATCCAAAAAAGTAATAAAATTCTATCGATTAAAAATTGATTTCTTCGGAATAATTAAGTTATACCCAACAATAAATCCTCAATATGTCCAATCACTTCGTCGAACGAACGGTCTTCTTCGCTCCTCGAAATTCGCTTTGTATCTTCCGGATTCGACAAACTCGGTTCATCTATTTGAAACATTTATTTTGATAAAAAAAAAATTATTGTATAAATATTTTTTGCGTTATTGAATAACGAGTGAATGTGAACATCACCCTCACGAAATCAAGTAAATATAATTTTTAGTTCACACGAACCCATGTTTTTTTTCTTTTTGCAGTTAGACGCGTAAAAATAAGGCACTTGCTTAAACTACAAGATAAAACTGCTTTGATCGTCAGCTAACAGTTTCCCGTCGATTACAGACCAAATTAATTGTTGCTGTGTGCAACGGCAGAGGCGATCGTTTTATTGATCAGAATTTTTGCGAGGTTAGATTCAGTTAATATAAAAAATAAAACAACATTGATGCATTTGGGGAAGAATATAAGTTTTATTTTACATATATCGCGATATATTAATTGTGAAATAAATTTTAATTGTATGTATTGGATATTTATAAATAAATATATGTCCTATATCTGTGCAACTGAAAAAGTTTCATGACATAGTACCAGAGGAAATCAATAGATGGCAACAATCTTCCGTTTCCAGCTGCAATAGAATATTCGTGCAATAGATAGCGATACCGTTTAGTTTTTCTATTTGCAAAGAGAGCGATATAATTTACCAAATGGGTATTTTAATGCATCTTACGAGAACTAGGTGCCTTGATTTCAATTCGCAAATTTTGCTACTTTTTAAATTTCAAATCTTATGGTTTTCTCTAGTAAATTAAATTTTTGTTAATTATTTTTCTAGTCTTAAACAAAATAACAGATCATGATATAATGTCAAAATGACGTTAAAATAAATCGAAAAATGATTTTTAATAACATTTTAAAGACTGTTTGTTGTGTTTGAACTTACTTTAATTCTTACTTTCATTCGCGTACTTTAGTCCATTTTTCAAATTGAGTTTATCACGTCGATTATATTACCTTGCGATTGATATAGTTTATAAATTTTAGAAAGAAATTATATAGTTAAATTGCGAACAATAAAAAATTCATAAATTCAAATAATTTCAAAATACAATGTAATATTTCAACAACAAAAAAATAAAAAAAAAACCCAGGGCGAATGAGAGTCAGCATGGATAATTAGTACGCAATCTTAAATCTTTATTCCAAAAAATAGTACATTTCACCTTGAAATCATTCTCAGCATACAATTTCAAAATATCCCTTCATGTCCAAAAAAAGTCACTATCAGATTAATAGATTTGATGTAATCTATTCGAAACATTAACACAATTTATAAATATTTCGAAACCATTCTATCCAACAAGTTACAAATTAACATTAAAAAACTGGTGATTGAGAAAATGTCTTCTCAAGACATAGAAGGAATTTATCTCAACATTAGATCAAAAACAATTAAAATTTATTATCACTAAAGAGTATCAAGTTAAAAACGCATGTTGATTGGAGCTCGAACGAAAAATGACTAATATATTTAATATAATAAGTAAGACATAAGTCAGATCAACAAGAAAAATAAAAAAAAAGAAAGAACAAAATCAATACATAAACCATAATTTGTATAAACCAACAAAATGTAACTATTTAATGTCTTTTAATAATTGTATATCAGTTTGATGTACATCCTCTGTATCTGAACGTAAATTGAGACTATTTTGTTGCATGAGTATATGAAGGCACTCAGATATTAAACGCAATATTTCATTTTAGCAAACCTGCCAAAATTTGTATCGCAATATGTATGCATCCAGGTTGAAATTTTGCGAATAATAATTAATGAAATAGCAACATATATACATGTATTATATTGCACATTTCTGTTCTGTACGTATTAATAAAATAAAATTTATTATATATATATAAAAATTATCATCCTGATATATATTTTTTGTATCACGATCGCTTCTGAACAATTAATCATAATATCTCTCTGATCAAATCTTTACTACTCGATAAGAAAAGAGCCGTTACTGCAATGCTATTGCAACGGGGAGAGAAAATTCTTCTGCCCACTTACTACATAACTTATATAATGCGAGCAACAATTTCATACCCCATGGAGCAACTTCATAAATTGGAATCTTTATCGTCGTCCGTGCTTGGCGCCAATATTTATGGAATTCGTACAAACTCGAGAGAGGCCGCTTACGTGCGTCACGGCGAAATGCTGTGACGCAAATAGAATCATAGAGCACGTCGAATTAAATTTCGATGTGAATGTCGTTGTTGACGTATCGGGTCGGGGCGAAACGATTTCCAATTACTCGTGATATACGTGAAAAATCGTCACGATGTCGGAAAATAATATCGTTTTGTTTTTTAATTCGATAACTTTAATTATTAAAAGTGGTATACATATTTTATAATTCGTCCCTTCCTCGAAGCTAATTATTTTTAAATAAGCGGCGATAATGCGAAGAATATTCTTTTTTTTTGAAACGATAACATACGCCTGTCTTTAAATAAATAATGAAATGTGTGTGTGTGTGTGTGTGTGTATGTGTGTGTGTGTGTGTGTGTGTGAAAAGCTCTGAAAATAAATCAATAAAAAGAAGCAAGATAGTCAATAAGAGTCCATGTGCAATATAAACAGTTATTGATATCCGAAGAACATCAAGTAAAAAGAAAGTCAAAATAATTTTATTTGAAGGTAAAAAATGATGATTTTTGATTACAAAATTTAACTATTTATTAATGTTAAAAATCGAAATAAAATTATTTTGATTTTTTGTTGACTTTTGTCCCTTGGGTAAAATGGATATTTATTGGTAAGATTGTTATATATACAACCTATAATTATATTTAAAAACGTCAACATTTCACAGTAAGGTTTTGGCCTTTCTTATCTCTTTGATCTGATGAGAACAGGTTTGCGTTATCTGAATCCACGTATTTTACATGGAATATGTGAACAAAATTTTGTTGACATGATATCTACATGAATTTAATATCGTAATTTTATTGCTAAATCAAAATAAATTTTCTTCAAAATTTTAACATGCATTTTATGCACACTTTCATATAGATTTTAATACACATAGAATTACTAATAAAATTAAAGGGGGATAAAACAAGAAAATAGTAATATAGAATTTACGTGAATAAATTCACATCGATTTTTACTCTGTGCAATCCACGTGGAAATTTTGATGACGCGTCATTCATAACACGTTACATTCACGTAGATATCAATGAATTTGTCTGCGTAAAATGCGTGGATTCAACGTAGACACCGCAAACCTGTTCTTATCGACCAATGCAAACAAAACCGCAAAATATTGATAACTGATCGGGAAAACGATACTAAGCAACGCATTTAATAAAATGTTTGCGGAAAGATATAAATTAATCTAGCCACTGAAGTAAAATATTCAATACACATAAATTACGATCATTGAGATAATTCAGTACGTACGAATTCAGTCAAAGTAGTGATTATCGCTACTCAATGTAAGTTCAAATAATAAATAAAATAATAAATGATGGACACGGTAAAAGAAACTGTTGTAAATGGCCGATAGTTACAGTGATATAATAAATTGATAATATTAAAAAGTCTATAAAGAGTCGACACAGATATTAGTATGTAAATAGAAAAAATTATTAAAATGTTAACATAAAAGAAATAGTAAGAATGTTAACAAAAAAAATTAGTAATATTTTGACCTTAAATTTTTTTATCCTCCGTACGTTTTAATGATGGTTTTAACTTTTAATGACAAATTAAATAAAGTAAGATAAAAGTCACAAATCGAATGCTTTAAATGCATTTAACAATTTGTATATAAATGTAATAAATACATTGACTAGAGTATATCGGTGGTAATTCGAAATTGATTCTTCAAAATGATCTCAAAACTTGATACAGATATATGGCAATTACAAAGTTATTTAAATATATATATATATATACACAATATATATGTAATTAGTGTAAATAATAACGAATTATCACAGAACAAATATAAATGTAACATTTGTGCAAACATGTCATTAAACTGGACTCAATTTTTATTCTAAATAAAAAATGTCCATGTATACATAAAACATTTTTTTCCCGAGAAATAATTATTTTTTTTACTTTCATAACATCAAAATAAAGTTTGACTTTTTCTTCACTTGGTGTGTTTCTGGAGAAGCAGAAATGAGTGTGATGTCAATCCTATGTAAGTCTAACGTTAGTAATGAGTAATATATGGTAATGAACGAGAAATTAAAGTAGGCAATAAATGATTAACGATAAGAGATAGCAATGAGAATGCGATCAGAATCGGTCAACCGACAAGACAACATGAAATATGAGATATGAAATATGAAATATGAAATATCATTATTCATTTAAGTTGATGATAATATATCTGTCTTTAATAATTAATGTTAAATTAATATTTACTTGCATTAATCTTTTTGTATTATATTCAGCGGACAGATAATAAGCCTCGTCACTGTCCTGTAACTACGTTAAAGCGCGTCTTCGTTAACGCTTGGTAATTTCTTGGAATGGAAGTAGGATGGGTAACCCTCTGGCAATTCCCCGAATTCTTCAACTTCGGGGGGACACTGGACGTACTGAATCCCGCTCGTTTGGAGACTTTGGACGAGCTCCGATCAACTTAATCGGCAATTAGTCCGAGCGGTAGAATTGCTCGCGGCAAAGTTTTCGACCGTATAATTCTGTCCTATCCTGATCCTTGAATTTTTTTTCTTTTGTAACAAACAGCAAAGGAATTAATTATTAATCCTACCAATTAATTAATATCTATGTCAACAAAATAATATAGGTATTTGCATTTAACATGTTAATTGAGTTAATCGGAATAATTTAATCAGAGTTCGGTCGAATGCATTCTTGGCTTATTTAGCTAGTCTTTTTTAAATCTAAATAATAATAGCGTTTGTACATTGAGAAAATAATTATTGCAATTATCATAATTTAATTCTAATTTATAATTATTTTCGATACTGACTATATATTTTTACGGTACCAATTATAAATATTATAACTATTATAACTATATACTAACATTACAGCAGTAATATTATAAAACTGGAGCTCCTAATCATATTTATTTTACCTTGCTTTATAATTATAGTCATAAATACTAATTATAGTCACAAATAATACCAAACATTCAGTGTACATATATATGCCAACATACGTTGCATGATACATAAATTATTTCAATGTATCCGGACGAAAGATATATTAACGGTTATTTAATAAAATATATAGAGACGTATTAAAATCATAATTTTCCTCTGCAGAGGAAAGATAGTCGTTTCGTAGTTCAAATAATTTTAATTGAGAAATAAATCTTAATTATCTGTATTCTTTCATTTTTACTTTTATTGTTGACGTCTTAATGTTATCTTTCTTACTCTGCTTATTTATATACGTATCATTTATTAAACTTGTATTTTAATTTTTAACTTTGTACTATCAATGTTGGGTTTAGATTTTTAGGTAGTATTTTGCTGATGCCTCGTCTACTGATTGCGTGTTTTGTTTTATATTAAATTTTTCTGCTGTATGTTCTATATATATATATATATATATATTCGTTAATGTGACAAAAACATTCTTGCGTATTGTAAATATCAAGAAATGACGTAATGATATTGTATCAAATTTCGATACGAATTTATGTCTCTAATTAGTTATAATATATAAGATACGATAAAATTGATGACCGAGAGGTATATTTTGATATACGGATATGTTAAATTAGGTTATATTTACTGACACGTTACGGGCGCAATATATTACGTAAACAATGTAGTGATAAACAATGGCATGGTGAAAGAAACATTCTTACAATGGTCTTCTACTGTACCAACAATAGTTGATCGATACTTTAATCATCTAAAATAGTGCTGAGGTAACAGGACTTGACGTTATGACATGTTCAGTATTCATGCATGTTGCCTTCCTTTTTCTTAACATTTAGAGGGTGAGGATCTATTTTTAAAATTTTACAATTTTTTGAGTAAGCAATCTATCGTTGCAATTTATTATTTTTCATTATATTGTTTCAATTATTGCGTCTTTCCCGTCTAAGGATCGATTGTGTATTCATTGACCAGTGAAATTATAAATACTCTAGTAAATTCTTACTTTGTAATTTTTACCTCATTTCAAATACAACTGTTTTCAATTATTTATAAACTATAAAAAATTAAAATAAATTAACAGAGGTGGAAAAAGGAAGACAATAGATAATAAATGCTGATATTACACATTAAAAGTCAGTGTCCAGAATTATACAAATCTTCGACAGCACAGATCTAAAATATCATCTTTGGTATCATCTGACGCGATTGATATATGCCAATTATCAGAATTGTATATTAAATCCATCGATTCGCGCCGTTGGCATAATCACGCGAGCGGTTAATTGCGTTCGATAATTCAAGACACCGACAAATCTTGTTAACGGAATTCCGCGGCAGTTGCGGTATCTTGTGCATCGTGTCAGCCTGACACTTGTTGGTACGCTAATTAACTAAAAGCATCGTATCGTGATAACGGCGGCGATACTAGTCGAGCATCTCCGATTTCGCCCTTTATGGGAAATTCTACGAAACTATATAAAATCCGTCAATTCGTCGATGACGTTATCGTAGACTTGACGCTATTCGATAATTCAGGATAGAAATCTCGTTAACGTACACTACGGAATAACCGTAGCGGAAATCGTCATTCCCAACACGCGCTATATTCCCTTGGTCTTGTGCTTCTTGGATTGGATATAACGATCCTGAGACGGACAGAGGTAAAAATATAGAATATTGGAAAATATAAATTAAAAATATCAATAATTATTTGTACGTCAATTAGAATTCTAATGTCGTCATCTTTCTCATTGTAACAAACCCTTCTTGGATTTTTGTTAAGGAGATTTAGCGATAAATATATAATGATAGTTGAGAGATTGAGACAGGCAAATGCGTTGAAAATAGAAATTAAAAGTATGCTTGCGTTATAAATCGATTTTTTCACTACTCTTTAAATTTTTTGAAGTGGAATCTCAGTCTAAAGAATGAAAATTGAGCCTTGAAAAAGAGTGGCTCAATTTTCAATCTTTAAAGGTGAGATTTCACTCTTCAGAGAGTGACAATATATTCTAAAAGTTTTAGAGAGTATGCATACAGGATGAAATAATAATTTATCTATCGTGTCTCCATTACGATTTTAATATATACAGAGTAAAGAAACATTTATTTTATACGGGGATAATATTCTGCGAAACTATATCGATATTTATGTTTATATTTATAACTTTTATATAAGCGGAGTTAAGAAGTTCTGTTTCTAGCTTTTTCTCGTGAATATTTGCAGCGAGAGGCGACTTTTTTTTAGCTTTCCAGGCCTTATTATTAGCTTCACTCTTTCGATGAACTCGAACCGATATTTTCTTTGAAGTATGTATCTTATCGAAAGTGATCGAATAACCGATTTGAATCGACATTCAGATTACACGGAAATAAATTTATAAATATATGTTACACGCTTGTAAAGTCGCAATTTGCACGAATACGCAAATTCATATTTGATAGTAACAATTTAAATAGTGTTGCTTTGACAAATTAAAACAGGCTGAAATAATATATATATAATATATATTATTTTCTCATTTTTTTCTATTATTTTTATGATATTTATAAGGAATAAAATCGCACGTTTGTACGCCTTTATCTTAATGCAAGTTTGAAAGTTAAAATATTGTTTCAAGTAAAATTTTCAATTCCCTCTTTTAAAATTATTATCTCAATTAATAATTCCAATTATAGCATTTAAAAGAAATATTTCTTTTGCGAAAGGAGTACATTTTCATTGAATTTCTTTCTTTTTCTCTTTTATTTCTTTGTTATATGTAATTTATAATTTCTTTTTTTTAAATATTTTTATTTATATCATTTTCGTTATTTGTGTATATTTGTTCTCCTACTTTTCTTTTTATTATCTTACTTTCATATTCTTAAAGAGCTTGTCTTAGAATAGTGGTGTTTATTACATTGTTATTTCTCTCTTTTTCTTTCTCTCTTCTTCCTTTGCTTTACATAATTTACAATTTTTTAAATTTGCATATATATCATTCGTATTATTTATGCATTACTTTCGTTATTTATATATTTTTCTTCTTTTACATTTCTTTTTACTTACTTTTATATTTTAAAAACATAAAAGTAAGTAAAAAGAAATGTAAAAGAAGGGAAGTGTTCTATGATCTGCCTTAGAATAATAATAAACATCTTTCTCTCTTATTCTTACAGAGGGGGGGGGGAAGGAGAGGTGCATTTTTGAGTGTCGTTTTATTTAAAGGCAACTATTAAAGTGTCTATTTACAATAGTTTGCATTAAAAAAATGTGTGTCGACCGTGCTGGTCTCGGCGGCAGTCGGCGGTTACCGGCGCGGCGCGGTGCGTCGCTCGGCCGTCCTCGGCTCTCGTCGGCCGTTTCCGTCGATCTCTGCGGGGGCAGAGGCCTCCTACCCTCGCGCGCAGTCTCGCGCAGTCTCGCGCAGTCTTCACACTTTCGCGTAGGTGAACGGCGGCGCACGCAACGCGACGTCTCTCGGTCCGTCGTCCCTTCGTCCCGCGAGTGGTTGGTTCTCTTCTCTACTCCTTTATCGGTGTGTCGATAATAAACCCCGGTCGCGTAATCTTTCTCGCGTGCTCGCGATCGCCGTCGTGGAACCATCGCCGTTGTCTCGTGCCGTTGTCGAATCCGCGATAATCGGATACGCGCCACCTGCTGTGCGCGATCCGCTCGCTACCCTCGCACCACCCAACCCCGGTTGTCGTCGTTGTCGCCACCCTCTCCTCCGCCACCCCGCTTCGCTAGCCCCTCGATTGGAACGAATGTCCGTGGGCTCGCGTCGCGACGGATATCCCGCGAGGAGCGGAGGATCGTCCTCGCGAGGGAAACCGGCGAGGGAGTCGACCGTCGTCGATCCGTGATTCTGCAGTTCTGCAATCGCGATCCCACCGAGCGGCTTCGAATTTTGGCGCGAGTGTACCACTGCCGGCAACTTCACGTCGATCGTATTTGATAGATCGAACCGGAGTGCGACACGTGACTATATTCGCGCCGTGAATTGTCAACGGTCATCGGCGGATCTCTCCGCTCGCGCTGTGTACAACGTCCGAAATTCGCGGCTACGTTTCGTAACCGCCGGTACTTCGATCGTCGGCACCGCCGCGGCCGCCGTCGCGACGCTTTTCCGGACCCCCGGAAGAACGCGGCTGGGATTCCGTCCCGGGATATCGTGTTCTCGCGTGTGGAGTTTTCGAACGAGTCTAACGTGCTCCCGATGTGACGTCACGGGGGTGGCGCCATTAGATATTAGCCGAATAAGCGATTACTAGCATCCTTGGACCCAGTTCTCGCTCTATTTAAGGAGTTCGAGGAAAAGAATAAGCGGGCGTAGAGAGAAGAAGCTTTGCTCGAAGCTTTTGAAGTAAAAACAACGGAGCGGAACCAAAGGATCATCGGACTTTTGTCGACCGGAGTGTGTTTTCGGAAGGTGGAAAGCATCGGAAGATTCGCATGCAAGTTCACGCGGTACTTCCTTCGTAAGACTTGACTCCGCAATTTTCGCCGAACGTCCGACGAGACCGCTGGATGATTAGAAGAAGACATCTCTCGATTGTTGTTGCCTGTGGATTTAAAAAGTACTCGGCATCTTTAGAAGCCAGAGAAGAAGAAGAAGATCCTATTGGGTGATTAGAAAAAGACCCGGAGTACCTGACTGTTGTCTCTGGATTCAAAAAATCTCGTTCTTGAAGTCTTCAGGATCAAAGAAGAAGATACTGAGTGATTGGAAGAAGATTCGAGAAATCGTGTTACTTGAAGCCTTCAGGGTCAGAGATATCCAATC